TGCAAGCTCTGCTAGCCTAACTCAATTACAGACTGTTGAAAAATCCCCTACAAAATGCATCCGTCTCTACCTACAATTGCATACAGCTAATCAAGTCTGGATTCATTACACTCCTAATAAATGGAATTAGCTAAGCTGATAAACATCACTATGCATAAAATGTCTAATTAAATGCTTTAAAAAATAAAGAGGTAAACAACCAGACCAGTTCTGGGCAATGTAGTAATAACTGCAGGAATAGTTCAGGAGCCTTGAAATAATTGGAAGTAATAAACTGGGGCTGGAAGAGTTCATGCCTAAGCTATAAATAACTGTTTAAGATTCTTTATCCTGTCAGCTGAAGAAACATTTCCTTTACTCAGAAGAGAAGTTTAGATTGAGAATTTTTTAACTAAAAACAGCCACGACAAACCAGCTGGGGTGGGGTGTGGAGTATGGTGTGGATAATTTTCTACATATCTAATGCTCCCCGCCCCCACCCATGCACACACTTTCTGTGTATGAGAAGTTTGTTTCTAAGACAGTCTGAAAGGTAACAGTACAGTCGGGTCACAATTTGTCTAAGTACCATTATATAACATACAAATTAGAGGCCAGCAGTACAGATTACTCGATCTCAAAGGTCTTTTCCAACCAGGCAATTTTATGATTCTACGATTTTTACAGAATGTACTTTTAGTAAACGACTGGATAACATTTCTACACATGCCTTTGGAGGCTCTAACACTTTTCACTGAGGGAGCTGAAAAAGAATCAAGATTCAGGCAGAATCTGTCCTTATTCTTATCCATGAGCACTTCTCAGGCCAAGGCTTGAATTTATATGAATTAAATAGATAATATAAAGGGAACTAAGTAGTAAAGATGTTTTGAAGCCAAAACACCACTTTAACCCATCCATGCTAACTAAAGAGTACTCAGTGATGTTACAGTTTATTTAGCACCCTTGGGTAGCTACAAATCAGTGCTGTCTAAAGTCAAGCGCAAATAATTCAAATATATTTTCAGAAAATGACACTGTTACAAAAAAAGAAACCCAGTGATCTGAAATGGAAGCCAAGATAATTCCTTTAAAATTAGTGTTCTGTCTGCTGAAGACCTTGATCTTGTCACCATGGTTGCAGCTGAATTTCTAACTGCAGTCTACATAAAAGATCTTGTGAGACAAGAGTAGGGAACATTCACAATAGCCAGCTAAACATATTAACAAGATCTTCACTGCAGACAGATTTAGAAGTTATTTAATTCTGACAGTATTTCAAGACCAACTGATCCAGCAGTCTAAAATACTCTCTCAACCCACTAGTGACCTACCATGTTTACCTGCCTACTGAGAGTATGAAAAAATAAATTTAAGAAAGAAGCTCTCCAAAAAACTATGCTAACATCTTACTTCTAACTACATCGAATTATTTTGTCTGTTTTTTTCCCCTGCAATTTAAAGCCTATGAGAAAAATAAAATTGAAAAAAATTACCTCACTCGAGAGGTTCAGAGAAAGATCTAGCCTTGCAATTCGAGAAAAAACAACATTAAAAAAACACATACAAGACCACCCTTCTCACCTGAAATACACACTACTCTTTCAAAGCCCTTATGCATGTGGAAACAACTGGCTGATGCCAATATATGCTCTGTAAATAGGTTTTATTTTCTCCTTCTACCATGCAAGCGCCAATTATAAGCATTAAGTTTTAGCCAAAAGAAAGCAATTAGCTCTTCCAGACTACCCTCATTACAATGTTTCTAATCAACAGAAACTTCCTTTTGCAATTAGTGGTCTTGAAAACAAAAACAAAACAAAAAAATAGCCTAAGTGTATTTTAGGCTAAGGTTAATAATGCAGCTTTAAACCCGTTAGGACCCACCACTACTCTACATTGCAACTGCATAAACTTTGAAGTTTTGCTTATTCTTGGGAAATAAATACCATAGAACAAAATAAATATACTATATAAAATAAGGCCTGTGGTTATGGAAGTAAGCTGCTAGATACAATGAGGCTTCTATGGAGTATGAAGACATTTCTATGTGTTGGAGAAGTCAACAATGCAGTGAAGTTTTGTTAATGCAGAGTGGTAGAATAACTCACCTTCAACAGGCACAAAACTTCAAAGCTTTTCTGTGAATTTAGTAAGCATGAGCATGCAAGGCAGGAAAGAGTTAAAGTGAGAAAATGCTCTACCTGTGTGTTCTTGGTCTCTGGTTCAAGGAAGCTGTCCTTCCCGGACTGTGTTGACTACCCAGTCTGGCAGGACTGGTCATGTAATCATTGGGGACTGTTGGCGGTTTGACTGGCTCCAGGGTTTTGTAAGGAGTATTTCGTCTGGTCAAGGGGAAAGGAAAAAAAAAAAAAAAAAAGAAAAAAAAAAAAGAAAAAAAAAGAAAAAAAAAAAAAAAAAAAAGAAAAAAAAAGAAAAAAAAAGAAAAAGATTTGAAGACAGAAAGATAAAGGATCAGAAGATCAAAAGATAAATGATGAAGTGGTAAAGCCATTTGTTTTCTTCAGTTTTCATGAGAGATCACTGCACAGTGATTACAATATATTAAACAAATTCCACCAGGCAGGGTAGACAGGTCACATTAAACTCTCTAAAATGCTCTTATGTAGACAGATTCATACAAGTTGGTCTACGGGACATAAACTGATTTAAAAAAAAACCCTAAACTAAATTTACCACCCAAAATATATTCTTTGAACTACATCACATACAACAGCTACACCTGCGTAATATTCCAGCGTTACCTTTCAGCACAATGCATATGACAAACTCTGGCACGTAACAAGCTCTTCTGCTGTAACAATTTTCTCTTTCCTTTTTCCTCTCTTCCCCTCCCCTCCCAATGCTTAACCATCCTAAAAGCATTCTTGGCTAAACGTATTCAACTCATTAAGACAGAAGTAAGGCTGAAAGATTCACAGAACAAGTTACATTTGCAGTCAACAGCGCTGCTCTCAGAACCATTGTTTCATGCAGTAATCAAGCAATCTTATATCACTTAAGCAGATCTTGAAGTGCTTCATAGATGAGCTTCATCATCTCCATTTTGCAGTCCAAGAAAGGGAAGCCCAGAGACTTCCAAGGTCACCTAGCAGACTGTATCAAGGCAAAAAGTGTAACACAGATCTTCCAAGATCTATTTACCAGACCCATTAATTAATGCCTTAAAACCAGGGCATTTGTTGTACTGAATTGCAGAGCTCTTCACTTCTCACCAGTAACTAAGAGATCCTTTGCAAGATGTGGAATTTGGCAATGGACCAGCTAAGCAAAACCAAAAATACTAAACTACTGGTATTTAATAATTTGTTCAACTACTGGTTATAACTGAGTTGGTAAGTTATACACTTCCTGGTATTCTAAGAAACTTATTGACTTCCTTTTTACAATACAGAACACAATAGTACTAACTTTTAACTGTAACATTTTTTTTTCAAACCTCTCAGACAAAAGTGGAAATACCATAACTGTTTGCATACACTGTGGTGTTTATAAATTAGTTTGTCTATATAAAGAACTCCAGATGATTTCAGTATGCAGACTGCCAGCACCTATAGATCTGCCAAAACAGATCAGTCGTGGGAAAAATAAACTTTGTATTCCAGATGTAAGAGACAGAGTTTTAAATACTGCCAAATAAAATGATAAGCGGGGAAGATTTTAAATGTGCTTCCAACAGAAATAACCTTGAAAACTAGTGTTTTAAAGTATTCTACCTTGGAATGCACTGGCAATAGGAACTACTACTCAGCTTTGTAGTACTATTTATTTTGCCTGTACAACTTAAAAATACTGTCAAAAGCAAACCCCTACTACATCCTCAAGTTCAGCCATGCCTCAGTTTCTCCTTTGTTCTACTCAGCTTCACTGAAGAACTCAAAACTCCTAAGCATCAGAGAAGTCAAAACCAATTTATTTCCATCACTCAAGTCCAATCCTTCCCTTTGCTTTTCTGCCAGCCTTACATGGAGGAGGAATAGACTCTTCCCTGACACTGCCCAGTGTCCCCCAATGCTTCATGCAGTGCTGATGCCCATTGCCACCAGGGAGAGCTACAGGGAGCCCAAGGCCTTGCTCTGCCCCAGGACCCTCAAGGCATGTGGGCAACTACTCCCACCATCCAGCTTCAGCAATTCACTTTTCTCCTGTGGTACTTCCAAGCTGAACATCCAAGGTTTTCCACAGCCTCTCCCTGGTTCGGTGGAGGGACCTCTGCTTCCTGCTGTCCCTTTCCCTTTTCAGCCCAAGCAATTTCTGTGCAGGACTCCCTCCTCACCATGTTCCTTTAGATAGTCCTGCCTTGGAGGGACAAGCTGCACAATAGGCAGCATGTACTTAAAGGTCTGTGGTACGCACCAACCTCATTCTTATTTTACATGCTTATCTGTTTTCTGGATCAAAGGGAGAAGAGCAGTATCCCTGTGGTTTCTAGCAATTTTTTCTGCATACATTAGGGAAACAGTCATGCCTATGATACCTCATGTCTGGCAGAACACGGCTGCTCAAGACAAGAGCTGTACTTCCTGAACAAGAAGGGCAGATAGAAATCTGTTACAAACTCACATTATTCCTCCCCCTCAGCCAACTGCTGCCTCTTGTCAAGCTCATCTGGAAATGACGTTCAGCTGATTAATCCTTATCAGGCATCAGCTAAGGCAACCAAACAGCTCTGGCTTGTTCAGAGGGGAGCATTAGAGAGAGGCAGCTCACCAGTACATCAATGTTCCTGTTTCACTAGCAAACATCCAAGAGAACATGAAAGCACTACGCAGCTTCCCAGGGCTGATAAACAACTCCTTCTCAGCTGGGATAAGAGACAATTGGAATACTGATTGCATGCCCTTGAGCAACGGGAATTTTCACTAAACATGCTGAGGAAACCTCTAGGGTAATTTCTCTGCAGAATACACAACAAACACTGCTATCGTGAAGCAGCAAAGCATCAAATCAGGATTAAAAATCACTAAGTCTTCAACAAAAGGACTTACTGCTTCTAATTTTCCTTTTGAACATTGCTCCAGATCCCCATCCTGTTCCATCTCATTATTCCTCATTTTTCCAGCTCCCCAGCTCTGCCAGACAACATACCTGAAGCCAACACAATCACGCCAGACAGCTTTACAGTGCCTCAGTCCCTCATTGCATAAAGGAAGACTGAGACTAACAAATAGGTAGAAGGTCTTGTTCAGGATGCCTTTTGGAAGGTACTGCACAGTTGGACAGACAAAACCATATGGCATGTGCTCTGAGCTTCTCTCAAGTACTCATGTTTTGGTCCCTAGCAACAACTACTTGCTGGCACACCAAGATAAGCAGATTTCACTCCCCACAGGTCCACAGCAGCAAAACAGGTGCTATGGCAGGGAAGTCCAGTCACAGCGGGACTCAGAAATAGTAAAATCCTTCCTCATTTAAGCATAAAAATAAAAATGCACAAGCCTGTAACAATCAATGTTGCCAATGTGTTCGAAATGCCACAAATTTTGCTTCGATAACTCAACAAATATGGCACTAATAGCCATTTCATATTTCTTATAATATTGAGAAATGAGCAGACAAAAACTTTAACAATAGAGTCTTTCCTCCACCAAAGTTAAAGCCTTATTGATTTTTTTTTTTTTTTATCACTAAGGATTTCTCCCCAAAAATCAGGAGTAACAATAGCCCATACCTACCATAAATCCTTCCCCCATGAAAAAAAACAATTCTTTCAAAAGGACACTATGAAAATAAGAGTCAGTGCAGCTGAAAGGTTTTATACAGAAAAGGTAATAGTGTTTTTTGCTAAAGATGATCAGAATTGTCATCTATCCAAGTATTTAAGAAACACCAACACCAGCACAATTAAATCTTTCTATTACACAGGCAGGACCAAGCAGTCCTCATTCTTACCCCAGAGTTCCCCGGCCTGACATGGGAGGACTTGGTGGTTTTTGTGTAGGCGGATTTGTTCTTGACAAGGTGCCAGTTCTTGCAGGCTGATTATTTCCATGCTGAAATAAGGGAAAACATGATTTTATTTTTATAACAGAGCAGCTCGATTATTGACAGCTTTTTTTTTTTTTTCAAGTGTAAGAATACGAAGTGAGAATTCCCAGACAGCTGTCAAACAGCAAGTTTTCAGCTACACACACAAGACAGACACAGGTAAATACAAAGAGTCTAAATACAAGCTTAATGTTATTTTTGCTATTAATTTACAACAGACATCAGAAAGGTAGGCAATTGACAGGTTCATGCACAAATCTCTTCTATCCTCTTTTCTTTAAAAGGAAGCCACATTAGTGTTCCTCTCCGTTTGCGTGTTAATCATTTAAATCAAACTTTAACACTGACAGTACAATACAGTCAGCATGGGCCCAGAATTTCTCAGTCTGCCCCTGCTATTTGACTAGTAGAGTTCAGGTTGTCTGGGAAGTCTCCTGCAAAAAATGTAAGTGAAGGAAATCAAGGCATCTACTGAATTCAGAGCAAAGCACTACATGTGTTAGATAAATTAATGTATCTAAGTATAAATGCAGAGGTCAATGTATCACAGATATATTGACACACGCTAAATGCTGTAAATAAAAAAAATTAAGTGTAGCATGTTTAATCTAAATATCCTATGGAAAGCAGAGGAGAGCATAAGAGAGCGCTAGTTTTCGGTTTTAATGGCTCTGCAGCCTCTACTATCAGTCACATGAGGCACTGTGGGTCAAAGGAGAAATAACACTTCTTACCTTGGCTTTTAGCCACTTAACGTTGGCAAAAAAAGGGGGGAAAAAGGCAGAAATTAATGGCAGATCCATCACAACTAATAGGACAGGTTAAACTACAGAAAATAACATTTAAAAAAACCATTTATGTCTATTGATAATTAGCTACATCCTGGTACACTAACAGAGATTTTACTGGCTCACTTAGTCATTGAAATTTCTGTGTCTGACTAAGTGGCCACAGGAAAACACTTGTATCAAAATTAAGCTCAGCTAAGCCTTGCCAGGTTTGTTCGCCAGGCTGCTCACGAGCAGCAAAGGGTTGAAAAGCCCTTCGCTGACCATTCAGGTCCAAACCCAAATCAATGCTGTTTCAACAGCAACGTGCACTTACGGATTCGTTCACAAAACCAGTTTCAGCTGTACAGCACAGACTAGACTTGCCTGTTGTTTTGACACTTAACCTTCATGTGTTTTGAAGAACTCCTAGCTGTTGCATGGAATGGTAAATAAAGAAAAGAGACTTTTCTCAAAGAGGATGAGCAGCAGCGCCTTTCACCTCTGGTTAATTGATTGAAATGTGATTCAAGCCAGCACAGCACCGGCAGCTCAAAACTGTCTTGGCAGTGCTCTGATTGTTATTCTGAAATTTTAGCTCTTAGAATCAAGTTATTATATGACTCCACTACATTTTTACAGCCTTCTTGATTGCAGGGGGGAAAAAAATTACAAAAACTAGGCCTCAAAGAAAATGACTGTAAAATTTTAAATAAATTCAAGTTGAGTTCTCTGATTTTATTTGGAGCTGAGGACTCATGTTTTTGAATGTGGAAAAGAATTACTTTCACCGATTTAAAAACAAAACAAAAAACCCCACACAAGTAAACACAAAACCCCAAAACATAAAATAATCCCAAATGCCTTTTTTTTTTTTTTTTTTTTTTTTTTTTTTTTTAGGTTGTTTGGAAATAAACTGTCACTTCCAGAACATGCCTCCTAGTGCACGGCTTTTCAAACTGCAGTTTGCACCACCTTCTCCTCCTCCTCCTCCAAGAAACACAGACCAGTTTAAAGGCATCCATGAACTCAGAAAAAAATAACTAAAACACACTATAGAGCAATGTGCATATGTGAGTTTCTGACAAGGTCTGCAAAACCACTGGAAAACAGCTGGGGTTACAAATCAAAAGAGGTTGAAAGCCACTGCCCTTAAGTTATTCATATTAAAAGAACAGAAACACAAACTCGCTCCAAAATTCAAATGAGAAAGTTTAGCTGTGGTAAGTAAATTTGAAGGTCATCCCATTCACTCCCAGTCTGGGCAGAGGTTCATCATCAGAGTGGCAGAATTAAGGCATTTAAACCACTACTGTCCCCACACACTTATTTAATGGATAAACACGAAGGCTCAGTTTCCAGGATGCCAGGGTAGTCTCCCAAGTATTGCATTTTTAAAACAGGGTTTTAGCAAAGAAATTTGCTTTGCCCTCTCACAGGAATATGTGACCCTTCCCCTTACTTCACCAGTTGCCAAGGGCAATGGCATAATACAAGGAATTTGTTAAAAGAGACTAAAAAGTAAACTCTTGGTCCTGTCCCTCTCCAGCAGCCATAGATAGAAACCTTTTAAAGGCTTAAAAGGAAGGGTGGCACGGATTCTTACCCAGCCCCTACTACTAAATTTGCCTGCCTCAAAAATGTAAAACCAAAAAGCTTCCTCTCCTTCCTTCCTTTATGCAGTGTCACTCAGCTCTTCTGGTGAGTCTTTCCACCTCCTCCTTAATCTCTGTTACATTCTGCCTCCGCGGCAGCAATAATATGAATATCAACATCTAGCAATGATTCAGGACTCAGTCTTATTTCAAACCTTTCTACTGCTAAGTACTGTTTAACACACTAAATGTGTATCTGAAGTCCAATAGCTCTTGACCTTTATACCATTCTCTACCTCCACATCACCTCTTTTGCTACCAATTAAACACTATACAGATACATGCACTTCTTTGCCTTGCAAAAGAATCAATATCTGTTGTCATACTGTCTTCTGTAAGTAAAAAGCTCTGTACATGTCCTCTGTTGCCATCAATATAAACAAGAGTCATACGGGCAGGAAAACACAGAAGGAAGGAACACAAAGGGAACGGGGATTCTTATGGGAGAGGAACTCCTGATCCAAAAGCCAGAAGTAAGGGAAAAAAGCAAATGCATGGAAGCAAGATGAAGCACATGGCTATTTAACCATGATTAATAAGCTAATTAATTAGGAGAAGACATTTTCTTGTAATTATTGTCTGAGTTTATGAGGACAACCTCGCTGCATTTCTTGGTCTGAAAACCAAATTTAGTCCTTTCTAAGCAATTAAAAAATGGCTTGGAACAGTGAACAGTTTCGGCAGCAAGGTCTAGACTTGTGATTTTAAAAAAAAACAGGAAAAAGGACAGCAGAAAACCAAAAAGCAAAGCAGGTACATGTTTAATGTAGGTTCAACTATCTGTCTACAAATGCCTCTAGGCCAGCCAGCCAGTTGGCAGAACATGACCATCACCAACTGCCTGATCACTACCGAGAAGGTCAGAGTCAGGAAGGAGGGAAATGCAGGGCATGAGGAAGAGAAGCAGCAGCATGCATAATCTTCACAGCTTGAAGAGGGAAGAGACTGTTCTGAGAAGGATCTAGAAAATAAGAGACAGGAGGTACAAAAGGAAAACTTAAGTCAAATGAAGAGCAGCGTTGAGAACTCCCACAGAAGCTGTAAGGAGCATGACTCCCTTCTCCTCCTGCTAGTTGTGTTACTGTACACACAGGAGTTTTCAGCCAGATACCAGCATCCTGGATGACGTACACATCAGAACAAAAACACAGTGTGTACACTTGCTGGGGATGCTTGTGATGTCAAGGCAGAGAACTAGACAGATCAGGATGTTCCCAGAAACAAGACAGCATGGTAACCAGCAGCATTGGCTGGGCTTTCTTGCAAGCATCACAGCAGAGAGAAGTTTTAAAGAAGCAAGCAGGACAATTCTGCCTTTCCAGGGAAAACCTACCAAGCATGTGGCAGTCCTGGATAAAGTTTTAAGGTTGTCACAAAATTAAGAGAAAGAAACCACAGTCTCAGGTTCGAGAAATGAATCAAACTTGCTGCATTTCCAGAAGATCACAGCTAGGGCAGTGGCACATCCTCAGGGTTTTGACAGTGTGGGAGAGGAGGCTGGCCAAGGACTGAGAGCCAGCAGAGGGCTGGAGAGAAGTAGTGTAATTCAGGCAGCGGGCAAAACAGGTGTTTGCAACAGCCATGCAAGGCTCACTCCAAAAGTGAGGCTGCTTCCAGAACTGATGCCAGGAATGCAGAGCACCTGGAATGAGAATTTTAGCTGGGGGTTTGGACAGGACAAGCAATGTTTTGGGACAGTCAAGCATTGACTGTAAGTACCAAGTATGAGGCTTACTTGCTTAAGGCAACTATTTTGCAAATTCCAGCATGCTCAGTTCTGGTAGTCTAAACAGTACAAAAATGCCTGCTGACAATGGCAGCACTGCAGCTTTCTGGAACCGAGGCCAAAGGGACAAGACCAAGAATGGCATAAAAAGGCTGGGTGTGAGGCAGTCAGAAATATCTACTGGTAGCCAAAGGATGTCCAGACATTTGAGGGACTCTGCTGGCTGGCCTTAGGAGGCAGCCATCTAACTGTTTTTAGTAGTTGCCATGCCACGTAGCACGTCATTGGGGAACATTAGTCATGATTCAGAGAACCAGAAATCTATTATTTGAGTTATAAACTGTGTTTGGAAAATTAGGGCTAGAGACATTGCACACAACTTATTTACACGGGCAAAGGAATCTGTAAGCACAGAAATACAAAAGGCCACTTGCACAGAGGAGCAAAGTCCTCATCACACTGACATCCAGCAAGTTTCTCCTGCACATTTCAGCTATGAACTCTCCAATTTCAAACTGCAGAAACTTCAAATCTCTACGCAGGTTTGTTATATTTCCCCTGATGTATGTCGCTCACTATTCCTCCAACTCCTGAATTTAGAGCCAGTTTCACTCTATAACCTGCCATACGTAGCGTCACTGAAAACCACCATTAAAGACCACCCAATATAAAGGGTGATCAGTGGAAACAAAGGTTTAAAAACTGCACTAGTCTAATCTGCATTAATAGTAAGTGTCTGGCAAACTCTGAAATTTAATATATATGCTCTATAAAAACAATAACCAACCTTAGATCCGTTACCTTTGACCAGTAATCACAGTCATCAACCGCAGTAGAAAAAAACATGATTGCTCTTGATGACTCTCTAGTCAACCTCCCCTTTTACTTAAAAAAAGTATTTCCTTTATTAGTCAAGGGAGAATTATCTGAGACATCCCTACAAAAAGACAGCTGGTCATAAGACCTGAACTGCTATTGTGTAATCTGCAGCTAGGCAATTCAATTGCCCCATAGGCATCCCCATAGATTTTTGCCCAAGACTGCCTCCTGTCTCATCAGTGGAGCAGTGCTGGAGTACCACAAGACGACACAGCACAAGAAAAGCAGCTGGAAGGGTACCTGTACATGAAGGTATGGGATGCCTGAGGAAAGGATACAGTAAAGCACCAAGTCTGGAACATGGTTTCTTTACAGAAATCAAGACATGGACTTAGAGAGAATGTGTAATTAAAGATGTTTTTCAGAAGGCAGACTGTACGTGGGTGTCAGACGTTCAGGGTAACACTTGAGAACTGCCATAAGAACTGCCACTAGTTCTGTGCAGTTTTAAATAAATCATTCCTGTGCCTCAATTTCCTTATCAGAATGGGTCAGAAGCCTTTTTTTGTTCTTTATTTCCTTATAGTCTATTGTAAGGCAGATTATTTGAGAAAACGTAGGTTCCAAATCAGTATTTCTTTCAAAATTGAACATGAGTAGTTAAGTCTTCAATAAAACTTTACCTTTATTTTTTAACGATATCTTCTCCCAGTATTACTTGCAACCTAGTAATTACATACTCTTCTCTTAACAGTAAACAGATGTAGCTTGTCAGTATTGCTTCTCTCTCCTTTTAAAAAATTTTTTTAGTGTCAAAATAAAGCAGGCAAAATTTTTCAAATCACATTTGACCTTATAATGTTTTTGCATATTAAACTGCTATTAACATACAAAACCTGCTTGTGGAAGACAAACTTAATATTGCTCCCTCAGTAGTCTTGTTCAGAGAAAGATACCTAGATTCCTGCCCTTAAATACTTCAAGTTTTTTGAATTGGGTTGGTAACTTTGAAATGTAGCTACAACAAAATAAGGTTAACATTATAAAAAAAAAAATTTCAAAATTAGAAAATAAAGAGACCTCACAGTTTATAGTTTTGTTTGCAACCAGAAAGGCTTGAAACCTACATTGTATCAGACAACAGTATGCACACTTCTGAACTTCCAGTAGCAAATGCCCCATGAAAAGCACAAAGGTCAACACTCACAAGAGAATCACTGGAGTTGGCAACAGGAAGAGTTACCTTTTCCCCTCAGATAAATGTTCTTTACCCTACAGCAATATTTACCTTTCGGCCATGACCCCAGAGGGATGATGTGACATTAATGAAACCAGCAACATGACATCCTTTGAAGCGTGAGAGTCTGATACAAGGACAAAGGCAGCAGAGGCTCAGGTTCAGGATCCCTGTCTCACTTTATTTTTATTAGAGTGAATTATTTAAAAGTTAATACTGATGTGTGGCTAACACACAAAAGGTCTTGTCCTAAAAGGGAAGCAGGCACTATTAGGTAGCCTTTCACCCTCACATCAGCAACTCATCTGCATTTTTGTTTTGCATCAACACAGATGTAAGCGTGAGGAGTGCAGGTGAGTAGGGCAGGCTGAGAAGTGTAACAAGGGTGACAGCAAGGCTCTCTCCTCTTTGATAAATTTTGACCCAATCCCTGCTTTAAGGGAGTCCTTCCAACATCCATTTGCACCAGAAAGTATTTCTGAATGCTTAACTCCTGTTTGACTTCCTGGGCTAGAAAGCTTCTTACAGTTTTAATGCACTGAAATGCAAGTGTTTTATGGTGATGAAATTCCACATTTTTTCTTCAAACAAAGTTGAAAAGCGATCTTCAAATACAATTCAAGTTTGGTTTTGAAGAACTATTAGTTCCATAACACAAACTCAATCTAATTACAGCTATTAGGCATTTCAATTTAACATGCATTGAACATTTTATCTGCCTTTACCATAAGGCATCATTTCAATTTCCTACTTAGCTGCTGTATTACAAATTGCTGCAATTCCACTTGCCTCTTATTAAAAAAAAAAGTAATAAATTCAAGAGCCAACTTCAGGGCTTTCAAGGCAGCTTCCAAGCTTCCTCCTCCTTCTCCCCCCTCTTAAACTGAGGATTTTCTGTATGAGTAATTGTATTTGACCTATTTATTTGCTGGCACAATTTTTTTTTTCCTTTCACAAAAGAAGGGGAAGAGAAGGAAGGAAATGTTAAAGTAGCTTCTGCCTAATAATTTTAAACCAAGCTCTACACAGGAAGGTAGGTTCTCACACCACAACAGTTACTCTTATTTACCAAGAATTACTTCAGCTCCATTCCCCTATCCCCAGAGGGTGACAGCTGAGCAACTACTTAACAGACCAGCAAAAATGCTTGCCTGTGTGTTTCTTGGAGCCATCTACACATAATATTTGTATTGCAAGGGATAGTCTTCTCACTACCAAACCAACTTTAAAAACCTTCCTGATTTTGACTGATGCTAGCCTTGGCTTCATAGGCACATAAATAAAAAAGCAACTTTACTCCTTTTGGAGGCTTTCTCTGTATCTGCCCCTGCAAGGGAAGGGGCAAGGGAGTGGAGCAGCTGGGGCAGCTTGGGGCTGCCATGGAGCTTTCAGGCCAAAGGAGAAAGCACCTCTGTGATCCTGGGATGCTCTACAAAAGCCTTTCCACCAAGAAACTGCTGGAAGAGGAAACAGCACTGCCCTTCCATCAGGGAGGAAACTTGGTATAGAGAGCAGCTGCTTACCATCACTGCCATCCCTACTCTCATCACCTGCCCTCAACAAAAATTGCTGCATACATGTGAGACAGAGAGGGGCATATAGAGCCTTTCTGCACACCCCAAGCGTAGGCATCTGCTTTTGCATCCCCTCTACACAGCCATGAGAAGCATCAGAGAGACAGAGAAAATAAATGGTGAGTATGCATAGGAGGTGTTTCTGCATTTGCTCAGATGGAAGATGTACAGAGGAAGACAGAATTTACTCTGAGAATTACCCATCTTTCTATTTATTTGTTTTTTTAAATTCTGCAAGACACTTTTTATTTACACTTTTTAAATTGCTCTAGGCAGAACTCAAACTTATTTCCCTGTAGAAAAAACATGGTTTCTAAAGCCTTATCGGACATGTTGCTGTCCAGCTTGGGGTGAAACCTTTTGTCAAGAAAATACAACTTAACAGATTCTGAAGCATCTTCTAAGACCGTTCTGGACAAGACAAAGTTTGTAGTTCACAGTGTGCTTCTGCCTAATTTGTACACTGAAGAGGCAACTCAGATTCCCAGTATCATTCATTATTTGTGCTGACCTCTAACAGGACCTAATCCAGTTTTGTAAGTTTCTTTGGTTTGATTTTCTTATAATATCACTAGCGACATCAAGGTTTGCAGACAAAGCAAGCGACTTCCTTCAAAGCTATGATCTGTGTCACACTCTTGGAATCCCAGTAATATGATGGCTAAAAACATGTAATTATTTCATCACTACATCAGCCTACTCTTCTCAGCAGTGTGTCCAGTGAATGTCAACACTGGTGAAGGTGTCAAATGCATGACAGCCACCTTGAACCATACACCCGAGGCCTGGCTGGCAGCTTATTTCATTTGTGTAACAAGTCTACATAGAAAATACCAACATAATTTTTCTACTAAGTATTTCATGCCTTCCATAGTCATGAAACAAGACTTAAGCAAATCACTCAAAGAAACAATAGCAATATAAAATTTGTAGCTAACTTGTAATGAGTTGCTAATTTGGTTATTACCAAAAAAGCTATTTTACCTCTGAACAGACTATGTTTTTAAAATTGAATTAAACCACTAAAAGTTAAAAAAAACTCTAGTAAAAATGTTCCTAATGTTCCCTAAGATCTGCCTAGAAATAGGTAAACAGCATCTCATTTCCACCACCTAAACAAATAGGGTCATAACAATAGGGTAATAAAAATAAAGACACCAGTACTCCTGAAAACAAAAAATCATATTGGAAAATACAACTGCTACACCTTAACAGCTTTGGCATTTATGGATCAAGCAACCTGTTTTGAGCCTCCACAATACACGTAGTTCACCAAAGCATCAACTTCAGAGACTAATAGTAATCATTCTACTTTTAAAGTCTTCCACAGCACTTGATCCCTGGAGCACTTAAATGCAGAAACCAATACCCTGACATTGAATTAGTGGATTCCTGTATTCTCTATTCACAGAGCTCCCTCCTTAAATGCAGAGATTGTATGGAAAAAACGATCAGTTTCTCTGATCCCAGTATTTCTGTTTCACAGCAATTTAGGGCATGTCTTTCAGGCTTCTACATAGGATTGTGCTTCATCTAGTCTGGCTTAAGTTATTAGTGAAAAACAACCCCAGAAGTTACAGATTTAGTACAGGTTTAGCTACACACAAAATGAAAAAATCAGGTAGTCCAAAATCACTATGTTAATTCATAGCCTAGAGCTGTCATGGTATAGAGCTGCTTTCTAACTCGTGTTGGAATTAGACTCCTCTGGGCATTTGGAGGGTTACTACAAAGCAGGAGGTACCCTGGCACTCTTTTGTGTCAAGTGATTCTGAAAGATCTGTTCCTCAAGAGCTCAGTGATTCAAAGGGCACATGATGGGCTGATCTAGCTGCACAACTGACTGAACAGAGCACATCAAGCTTTAGAGTATACACTGGTGTTGAACAAAAGCTTTTTAATGCCATTCAAGGGAAGATTGTTGTGAACTGAATATACCTGGAATGCCTGCTCTAGCGGGACACAAAGCTATTTTTTTATAAAAAGATGCCCAGGGAGCAAAGGGTGTTGTATTAATTCGCTTCAACTATGACCATTTCAGGGGAGGTAGATGTTAATTTATGAAGGTTTTTATTTAGAGAAAAGGAAAATGAGGCTGTCCAAAAGCATTAACAGAAGTGAGACATCAAATGCCACTGAGATTTCAAAGCCAGCTAGCTGACTCCCTTTCTCCTGACCACCCTCCAAAGAAACCCAACAAAAAACCCCCCCCCCACTAGCCAGTTTACCCGTAACAGATGACTTATTTTTTCTCAATAACAACAGAAATAAATGGAGTGGCAGAGACAATGTAATCAGAGGAGGAAGGGGTGATAATTTTAAAAGTCAGCCTTGGCTTTTTTAACAAGTCATTAGCTTAAGATCATGAGCCATTATTTCCAGACACTGTGACTACAACTGACAGTCACAAGGTTATGGCAAACACTGCTCAAAAAACTCACTGTAAAACAATCCATTTTGTTATTGAAATGTTTGTATGTAGGAGCATATCAAACCCATAATCCTTCCTGCCATAAATGAACTACACATGGCAATATTGGTAACATTCTGTCCCGACCTTATCTCCTGGTGTGTGTTATAGGAGTCCTAAAGTGTACAGGTATTCTTACCTTTACGCCATGGCCAACATCATCCAGCACCGTGTAGTCTATAGGTTTTCGAATATACCTTACAGGACGTTCCATGTTCGCTGGCGCTATGATTTTGTGAGTTCTCGATGTGTTCTTATTGGTCGTCAAAATGCCTATCTCTCTGCGAGCGACCTTCTCTTTATGGATGTCCACAGTCTAGATTAAAAACAAGAAAGTATGGGTTTCTTTAGGCATTTGCTGTTTTCTTTACAGAGCTATCTATATATTTAGGCTTCGCTACTAGACAAAGAGTCTGAACAGAGTTAATGCTGCTGGAAGGATGCCAGTTTATTGACTAAATGAGTTTAATCTACATCAACATCATTTGAAAATTACACTTTAACAAAATAACCAATATTAATAATAAAATTACAATTATACATTACTGCTTTGACACTCTAAAGACACTATGCAGATACGGTACTTGCAGATTAACCCTCAATGTTCTTATGACTGACACTAGTAATAAATTACTCCAACTACAGAGCTGGGAAACCAGGACAGACAAGCTAAGCAATTTGCCCACAGCCCCAGAACAGGACTAAGCTTGGGAAGTCTGTGTGGTAATTTCTTTCAGCAAAGCCATCAGTGCATATCAGAGTAAGAGTCTGCACAGACAAGGACTAATTTCAGCACTGAGGCTAGTTTCAGTCGTACTGTTTGTAGCGGCTTTCCTAAAAGAATAAAACAGAGCCTTACAGATGGGAGTAAAGGAATATAAAATATCCATCATTCTATTAGAAAATACCTAAAGAGACAAAGAAAGGTCAATCCAGCAGCCTATGCAGGATCTAACTAAGCTTCACGTAACAGACACATGCTTCTACAAGCAATACAACCACCACTTAAACCTTAGCTGAGGGAGACCAAGTACAAATCAAGCATCAGATGCCATAGGAAATCCCACTTCTGGGAAGCCTATTTCAAGATTTGAGGATTTAATTTACTGGTTTAAGTACCTACTAGAACCTCAGTATCTCATTGCAAGAGACTGTATCTGACAAAACCCACCACTCCAAGTGACTTTGAACAAAACCTATCTAGCCACCACTTTTCTCACTAAGGAAAATAATTCTCAGTCTGCAAGCATCAATTCCTCCTGGAGAGACTGTCACAGAAACAGAGTCAAGGTTCAGAAAGAAAGAAAAATCCTTGTCCACCAGGACTCATTTTGGTATGTCTCTAGAAATAGCCTAATCTAAAATGGATATTGTGATGTGCAAGATTTTGTTTAGTAAATCAGAGTCAAAGACGAAGCACAGAATTAACTTATATTTTACTCTACTTCTCTATGAGGCACGATTAAAAAGCAAGGTAAGCAACCAGGAAGTGACGATTCCTGGGAAAGCCAGCATTCGGTGTTCAGAGTTCACTATGAAATGCCTTCAATTGAACTGGTTTTTTCATTAACTGGTACACATGCTCAAATAATCTTAAATTCTCCTGAGTAAGTATGGAAAGAAATAAAATCCTCCTTAACCACTTTGATACATGGCATTGCAAATTATAAGTGGAAAGACAAATGGAGAAGCACCTAAAAGCAGTGATACCAAGTAGGCTTGTTTTCATGGCTTAAAGCTAAGTAACAGACAACCTGTAACATTGCAAAAGGATCTTCTGCTTTGGAAGTACACAGAATCTTAACAGAAATAAGAACTGTAGTTTTCCAGAGCAATGTAAGACATTAGATGTGTATGTCTGCAATAGCTTATTTGGAATAAGTTAACTAAATATCCCAAAAAAGCTTTGGAGCAAGCTTTATTTCCTAAACAGCCATGCTCTGAAAAAAATCCCAAAGTCAGGAATAAAAAGCATCTTACCAAAGGAGACAATCCTATACATCAAGCATTTACCTCTACATCAGTATCAGGTATCAGCCACTGCATTCACTTTTGCTCTGGCAACCAATTTCATAAACAGAGCAAAGACTTCAGAACAAGACTGCCCACTACTGTATTTCTTTAACTCCACCTATTATCTGTTCTTTTCCTTTCAGAGACTAAAATATACACGTTAGTTCTGCCTTTTAGTTTGCTTTTGGCTTTTGAGTGCTGTACTGAGGAGTGTCAGATAGGCCAGACAGCTGCGCCGCCATTCAGAGGGACCTCGACAGGCAGGGAAGGAATAACCCCAGGCACCGGTACAGGTTGGGGGCTGAGCTCCTGGGAAGCAGCCCTGTGGAGAAGGACCTGGGAGTCACAGAATCAGAGAATGGTTTGGGTTGGAAAGGACCTTAAAGATCATCCAGTTCCAACCCCCCTGCCATGAGCAGGGACATCTTCCACTAGACCAGGCTGCTCAAAGCCTCATCCAGCCTGGCCTTGGACAAGTTAAACATGAGCCAGCAGTGTGCTCTTGTGGCCAGGAAGGCCAAATGTGTCCTGGGTTGTCTCAGGAAGAGTGTGACCAGCAGGTGGAGAGAGGTTCTTCTCCCCCTCTCCTCAGCCCTGGTGGGGCTCCACCTGGAGTACTGTGTCCAGTTCTGGGCTCCCCAGTACAGGAAGGACATGGAACTCCTGGAGCATGTCCAGTGATGTTTCAAGGACTGAAGCATCTTTCATATGAGGAAAGGCTGAGGGAGCTGGGCCTGTTCAGCCTGGAGATGACTCAGAGGGGATCTGATTAAAGTTTATAAATATCTAAAGGGAGAGTGTCTGGAGGATGGGGCCAGACTCTTCTCATTGGCACCCAACAATAGGATGAGAGGCAACGGGCATAAACTGCAGCATAGGAAGTTCCACCTGAACCTGAGGAAGAACTTCTTCACTGTGGGGGTAACTGAGCACTGGAACAGGTTGCCCGGGGAGGTTGTGGAACCTCCCTCCCTGGAGAAATTCAAAAACCATCTGGACAAAATCCTGGTTCATGTGCTCTAGGAGTCCCTGCTTGAGCAGGGTGGTTGGACTAGATGACCTTCAGAGGTCCCTTCCAACCTCAACCATTCTGTGATTCTGTGATAATCTCTCTCCCAATTCCTCTGTACAACCTGAACCCTTTTGTTCAATGATAATACCAGGTCTCAAAACTATCTTACAGAACTCTCTAATAATTCACAAGTCTTCATACTTTGTAAATACATGAGCACTGCACAAGTAAAAAAAAAAAATCAGTCACCTAAACAATATAGCAATATAGGAGACTGAGGAGAATGTAAGCTTAAGGCACACACTACAATGCTTTAAAAGAGAGTAGCTTAAAATAGTACTATGCCTCTGGAAAGAAATCTGTGCTCCTACTTCATTCTCACAAATAGAATTCCTTGCCAACGATAAATTTATTTTTTGTTCAGTACACCGACAAAAATGCATCTTTATACTAAGAATTCTCTTTAAGCTGATGTCAAAAGAAACAAAGCAAAGTCCTGCATAGGATAAGAAGATGCATCTTCTCCTAGCAGGTAGTCCATGAAGACTGACTTTTCCCCCCTGCAATGAACGATGAAAATTCTGTAAATTACAAGAGCAGAGTATAAGAAATTCCAGAAACAGATGCTGTACCACACATGTTTTGGAAAATCACTTAAGTAACCTTACAACAATTTCTTGTTAACAGAAAAAAGCCCTTAGAACAGGAAAAGAGCATGTATTAATTAAAACATACAGGTTATCCAAAATTAAATATAGAACAGCAATTATTGTAAAGTCTTCCCATGGATTTCAGTAACATAAACCAAGCAAAGAGAATGCTATCTGCACCACAGTGCAGGGCCAGAAACTCAGGGTGCACATGTAAATCCTGACAGGCATGCAGGCTTGCCTGTGCAAAAGACTAAGTCGCTGTTCAAAGCAAATGAGTCTGCAACTCTTACCACGCCCGGTACACTGGAAAAGCAAGGCAGTTTCTGCCCCCATGCAAAGCAGAGGCTCCCAGCATATGCTTTGCCCAGAGCAATATGCTGCCCATCAGCTACTAGACAGCAACTTGCTTCAAGAAGAAATTACTTTTTATAGATCTATAAAGACTGCACATTATTCATTGTTATGTGATCATTATGCAATACAAAGAACATATAAATAAAAACACAAAAAATAGCAATTGTTATCTATTTTCTTGATGTCAATGTGCAAGTTTATTGTTCAGTCATACCAAAGATTGAGAGGAGCAAAGTACAGCAAACCAGCCCGGCTTACCACAGGTTAACAAGCACTAGGAAACAGTCACACCAGCTTCAAGTACACTTGGCCTATGCTGAAACATAAATATCTAGCATAATTTAAGATCTGATTAATAGGGATGGGATTCTCACTCCTAGACAACATAATCC